TTTGGAGGAGGCATCAACAAGCTTTATATCCATAGGTCTGTCACCATTTAAGATCACCAGATTAAGCCAACCAAGAAAAAGAAACTTATGAGCAGAGTTTGTCCTGGAGCCTCTTTTCATAATGATGCCAGAGCTGTTGGCAAATGAAGTCTGGGCTGCATATAGTACTAGGAAAATAATTTATGCATACAAAAACTCAGGTCCCTAGCTCAAAAATATAATATTTATTTATTCATTTTTAAAATTTAGGCCTTACTTGCATATATATATATATATATATATATATATATATATATATATATATATACACACACACACAGTTGTGCTCAAAATTACTCATACCCTTGGTATTTTTATAGTGTTTTTGAGTTGTCTTCTGTGATGAATGAGTTTTATAATACTTTCATATATTTAATATGACAAAAAACTGAGACAACATGTGATATTTCAAGAAATATGACATTCCATGGGTGTTTTTTGACAAATATTCAAAAATCACTATGTTCAGAATTATTCATACCCTTTATAGTACAATGCTTCAATAAATCAATAGAAAAGCCTTTGTTCTTAATGACAGCCTGCAAACGCTTCTTGTAGGTCTCCACAAGATTTCTACAGGTCTGCTGCGGAATGTTTCCCCACTCTTCCTTCGCAAAAGCCTCCAGTCGTTGGAGATTGGAAGGCTTCCTAGCCCTGACCCGAATCTTCAACTCTCTCCACAAATTCTCATTTGGGTTCAGGTCAGGGCTCTGACTTGGCCACTCCAGAACATTTCTGTTGTTGTCCCTGAACCATTGCTTGACCACTCGCGCCGTATGCTTCGGGTCATTATCCTGCTGGTAGGTCCAATTCTCTGACAGGTTGAGCTTGTGTGCTGACGCCACCAGGTTTTCATCAAGAATCTTGAGATAGTCCTCCTTTTTCATGATACCATCTATCTTAAAAAGGTTCCCTGTACCACTGGCAAAGAAGCAACCCCATAGCATGATGTGACCACTGCCGTGCTTGACCTTTGGGATGGTATTCTTAGGATTGAAGGCTTCTCCTTTCTTACGCCAAACATATGCAACATCCATATGTCCAAAGAGCTCCAGTTTAGTCTCATCTGACCAGAGGATGGATGACCAGAAGTTCAGATCTCTATCTAGGTGACCCCTTGCAAAGTCCAGGTGCGCATCCCAGTGTCTCTGGGTAAGGAGTGGTGTCTTTCTGGGGCGATGTCCATGGAGACCACCTCGATGCAGAATTCGCTGAATGGTGGATCTTGATACCGTCTCCCCTGCTCGGTTGAGGGTGTCTATTAGAGCTTTGGTGGTGATACGGGAGTTGTCGTTAGCATCGCGGCAGATCTTTCTAGTGACTCTAGAGGATACTTTGCGCTTCCTGCCACGCCCATCCAGGTTTTTGACAGTGTTGAACATCTTGAACTTCTTGATGATACTCTGTACGGTTGATACAAGGACATCCGGTTCTTTCAAAATAGCCTTTGCCTCCACTATGGGCATTGACAACACGCGTACGAAGATCATGACTGAGTTCTTTCTTCTTGGCCATGGTGACAGTGACTGAGAATAATTACAGCTTTGCCCCCTTAATTATACTTTACAGAGCAGGTGTTACCATTTAACATTATTAGGCCTTAATTGATTAGACCTAAACTGATTAAACTGATTATAGTCACTGGAGTGTGAAACCATGTGCACTTTCACAAAAGAAGGATTTTTTTTTTCTGAGATTGGGAATAGGGTATGATTAATTTTGAACAGGCTTAAAAGAGAATCTCTGGCCATGTCTATTGGTATACAAATGAGGTTTAGCTAACACATATGTGGGGTTGTGCATAGCAACTAATATATATGATTTGTCCAAGGGGTATGAATAATTTTGAGCACAACTGTATATATATATATATATATATATATATATATATATATACACCCAAGTGTTACATACATACAGCCCCAGTGCACAAAGAAGGGGCCCATGAAGACATAGTTTGCCAAGGTTGGAGTGGACGAACTCGAGTGGCCTGCACAGAGCCCTGACCTCAACCCCACTGAACATCATTGGGATGAACTGGAACGCTGACTTGGGCAGAGCTTGTTTTACTTAAGCAGCTGCAACCATGAATGCTCAGATCTATTCGCAAAAAACTTGAACGCAAAGATAAGGACGAGATTCTGAGGTGAGCTCAACAATCAGTGGCTCACAAACAGTATTACTTAGAGGGCTTACTGAACATGGCAAAGTATTCTAACACTTTTTTGTAGGACCACTACTTATCCGCTTCCTGTCTGTGGATTTCAACACCTTTAATGCTTTGGATTCTAATTTGAACAGCAAATAAAGGAACAGACAAACACACACATATAGAGTGAGAGAGATAAAAATATATATACAAAGAGGAAGGGAGAAAAAGATTGCAACTATAATATTGTTTTTTTTTTTGTCTGATTTATCTTTCAGTGTTTTGTCTCATCTGCCATGTCCCTAGAGAGTGCAGTGATTGATAGCCTAATCCAATGGCTATGCTTCAAGAACCTCATCTCATTCTGTGTTCTTATCATTAGAAGTTAGCCTGTGCTTATGTTCACAGCTCGCTGCCTGCTACTGGCCCATGAGATTTAAGGGTCTGGCCTTTAGAATATATTTAACACAAAACTGAAATCTTGACAGTGCTTAGAAGTCTGTCCTCAGAAATACAGCTTTAATTAATCATTTAATTAAAATAAAAGGCCTACTGTACCATAGTCTATCTAACACTCAGACTGCTGTGCTGATTACTCAAACACGCAGCTCTAATTTAAACAGCCGTAGCCTCTTGCATCACAGACTCCAGATAAACATCTCCCAACCCTTCCACCAGCCTTCAGAGCAGTCACACAGCAAAAGGGGAAGAGGCTGTCCTAGGTAAATAAAAATGTAAACATGAAAGACAAACTTGCTTTCTTTTGATTTTTGACAGGAGTCTGCTGTCAACAAAGAGCAAGAGGTCTTCTAGACCTGTAGCCTGCCAGACCAGCATCTCAGCTCTTCTTTCTTCTATGAATGCAGAAGTGCATAAATGCTCATGCAGTCTGGATACATGCTGAATACAGCTGGAGACAGGCTTTGGCAAAAGAGGCAGAAAAATGCATGAGCACTCAGACGAAGCTGAACTGGACTTGCAGACAAGCAGCTTTTCCTTCCCTCTCTCATTGTTGTTACAGAGTCGATCCTCAAACAGCAGGACAAGAAACACTGGCTGATGTGCACACATTATCCCATTAAAGGAGAAAAAAGGAACATCAGCCCCTGGAGTCCCAGTACACTGCTGTATGCTCACCGAGACAGGGAGAAAAAAAAAGATCGATGATTATTATAATGATGATTACTGTGATCAATGAATATAAAAAAAAAAGTCAAAATGAGGCACATAATGTTGATCACTCAGAGCATTACTACATTTGTTGACACCCATTTTCTCTTTCTCTCTCTCTCTCTCTCTTTCTCACTTAGATGATGGGCTTTCAGTTATGCAGTAGCATACATGCCAACATCCTGTAGCTCTCACAGGGGCTCTGACACCAGTCAATCCATGGCACTGCACTCTAATGAAGGCTGGTGTGCACACACACTCAAATGAGTGCACATACTGATACAAACACTAGCCACAGCTCAATCATTGGTGATAAACCAAGTTATAGCCCACAAACCTAAACTGCAAACGAACATGGACACACACACACGAACACACACACACACAAATTATATATATATAAATATAAATATTATATATATATATATATATATATATATATATATATATATATATATATATATATATATATATATATATATATATATATATATA